CCCCAAAACCCCAAAACCCCAAAACCCCGTGAAGCCTATTTTCTAATGATTCAAGAAAATTATAATATTAATATAAATATGAGGGCAATATTATTACTCTTGATCTGGGCAACAGCATGGGGTCTTGAGAACCATATCCAAGATTACAAAGGCAGAGTTGAAACACATTTAAAGGTAAAATAGTTTGCAGCTAGATAATCTTCCTTCGAGGTATTGATATTTCGTGGATGATCGGCATTGATTAAGTAAACTTTGATTTGGACACCTCCTTTTGGATAGTCTCTTGATGAATTTAGAATTTGCCTGGAACAGACTATTAATGTTTGATCCTTGTGTAATATGCTTACCCTAACCTATTTATTTTCAAAAATTCTTAATTGATCCAAAAATTGATATTTTATAAATTTCATATGTCATAATGATAAGGTATGGGATTCAGGGTGAAATTCCATAACAAATCTTATCCAAGAATAACAATTTATTGCAACTTTTATGGACAGAAAGCTTCAAAAGTTGATTACTGGTCATCTAGATGCTATTTACACATTTTTTAGCTTAGAGATACTAGGAACTAATAAATCTGAGATTAGATATTTGGGTGGTTACTTCCATCAAGAATTTCCTAGCAAGCCTAGGCATTATTTCAAATATCTTGGAATGAACACTCTCTTTAGTCAATTGATGAAGAACAAGATGATCCATTGGTGTCTTACAGAGACAAGAAAAGTGTTTTTGGTAAGATATGCTCTGCTAGAAGGAATAACCAATGATATAGTACTCCAAGAAAACGAAGTTATTCGGATGAATCTCAAACAGTATTTCGGAGGCTCTTTTCTGGAATACTCATTGAACCAAAGTAAGATTTATTGAGAGTTCTAGTATCTTACTTTGTCTTATATAGGACAGAATTATAATTGAGATGAAGAACTACAGTCGTGCTACGAGAAAGATTCTTACCAGTTTATTAATTTACCCTCAGAGTTTTATAAATTGATTCGATCAGGAAGTTACTCAATGAAAGAGCATGTGGGTCCACTCTCTGATATGTTAAGATTGCTTACTTGGCATCAAGAAGGATCTCCTGAAAAAACATATTTGCTCTATGTTACTGAAGATTATCATCTGAAGTTTGTTGATGTAAGCAATATCAATGTTGGGCAAGATATTGAGGTCTTATACTCAAAGAATTTGATTCCAATAATTAGAAATCAGTATGCCAAAGTAAAGATAAAAGACATTTATTGTAATTCTCTTAGTACTGTCAAGACCAACAAATTATACATAATAGGATGCAAGCATAAAGATAATGACTTTGTAATATGGATTAGTCTTGAAATATATCCCAAAAATGTATATAGCATGTCCATTCTGCCAAGGAAAGCTGAATTTAATATTGATTCACTTGGAAGAAACTCAATCACTACAGGTTTGATTGATGATTATTGATATTTGATTGCAACTACAAGTGAATATGGAGGCCTAGTACAAGTATCTGTATTTGATACATCAAAAGTAAAGTATAAGAATATCAAGTTCATTAACTCTGCAACCTACAATATTTCTGATTTCATAGATCCCTTTGAAAACAGGAATCTTGAGGGTGAGTTTAATTTCAGAGACGTAATTTATTACAAATCCAACTATAAATACAAAGACGATGAAGTCCAAGAAAACCACCATATTATTGCTAGTTGATACAACTGAGGAATCATATTCTTCAAAATTCAGAAGTATGAGGCTGACAAGACCATTGGTCACAGGTTCCTGAACCTGACGTACATGTACAAGAAACCAACTATTGGAAGAATTTTTACTGAGAAGAGTTTCAACCTGAAGAACACAGATTTCAAGTTCTTCACTAGTATCGCTACTCCTCCAGTCATCTACGAGTTTATGGTTGACGAGTCTGCCAATGTAAATGTGAACAAAGTGTTCAGTGATAACATCCGCGACAACAGGTATAAAGACTGCGAACTGATTTCGGTGAATGCGAAGTACATTGCCCAGCTGCTATATGACCGCAAACTGCTGAAACAAGTGATTAGAGTGTACGATCGTAATGAAACCAACTTCAGTGTTGGTCACATCCACATTCCTCTGAATGGGTATCGGTACGACATCAGTGGGATTCAGTTTCTGAGTTACTTGGAGAGCAACAAGATCTTTGTGAGGAACCCTGAGAAGTGGGAGATCTACGACATTCTCGACCCAGAACTGATAATTGACACATTTAACTATGACAATTATTCCAGCCACATTGGAGAAAACTTTATGATTAGCATTAATGCTAAAAGTCCGATTGAAAGTTCAGTAGGGAAAACTCTTAATGTATCAATAGTTTGTGTTGGAAGTGAATCAAACATATCCTTTAATATCCTTGAGTCCCCAAATGTGGAGATAAAATATGCATATGGTGATCCTAGTTTTGAATTACCTATCTCCAACTACTTTGTTGGTCCAAATCTAAATTTTACAGTCGAAATAGTTGGAGCATCTGATGAAAATTTTGACATAAAATTGCCTAAAATTATAAATCCTGAAAACCCTGAAATTCAATATGTTGACTTCGAGTCTAAACTTAACTGAACAAACAATGTGTTTAATCAATATAAAGATAAAATTTTGGATGAACCTATGGTTTCATTCTTTTGTATTCAGAGCAATTTCATTGAGCACCACAAATTCCTTATGAAAGATATGACTCCTATCAACACAACTCTCCTGAACTACACACATTTAAACTTTGTTGGTCATTACAACTTAAGAAATTCTTCTATGAACATTCTGATTCTTCTCAGTAAAGATCAGCACAGGGATAAATTCGATTACTCTTTGAATTTCTTCGATATCCAAAAAGGGATGCTCATCTGGGTCAAAAAGATCACTGTTGATCTAAAAAAGACTCTTAGAGAATTAAACTCAATAATAAAGTTCTATAACTCGGAATATCTGGCTCTTTTCTCCAAAAATGAGGAAGATATTTACTTTATTTGTGAAGACCCTAAGCTCAATGATTATCATATTAAGTTGAAACAGAGAGTCAGGGATATTTTCCTGATAAAGGACAAATATCTATACTTCACACATTATCAAAAGTCTTATGTTACTGTTCACAAGATATATCAAGTAAAGGAAGATGACAAGTTAAAGCTGTCTTCTGAATGGCTCTGAGATGCCAAAGTTGATCAAAATTATATCCTTGCAGATATTGGTAGAGATGGGTTTTCAATCTTTATACGAGGGAACAATATCACAGATGTATACTCGATTAAGAACGTCTGCAATATGCAATTTGAGAAGAGGCTTCTTCTTTTTGACTCTCCGACCCATATAGAGTACTTTATAAACAACAGGACAAATGAGCCAGTTTATCACAGAACTGGAAAATATCTCTTCATTGTAGCAAGAGATAGTACCTACACATTCTTAAAGTACTTGATTATTTATAATATCAAAACTTCAGCGCATAATTCATTAATTTCTAAGATTGACCTGAGCTTTGTAGCTAGCAAGTTTGATAATTATGTGTTCACAGAGAAAATCGCTTCATCTTCTCTTATTGCCATATATGTATATTATGATGTGAACATTTATGAATATTTTGAATTCCAACCTAATAATTTGCTTGTAAGCCTGGATTCAAATGATCTTTTTGTATCACTAAATAAAACAAACATCCAAGAGTATCCTGAAAAAGGAGTTATTTTGAAATTAAAGCAAAGCAAACTTATAGAACCTCCTACTTACAAATGGGAATACCCATTATATTTATTTGTCAATGTAGCAAACAAAGGGCTAATGATACAGAATAGGCTCCCAGATCAGCTCTATAAATTCCCTCAAAATGATGAACCCTTGACATTTTCTGTCCTTGACATCTTCGACGGGTTTGACATGAGCTACGATCCCTTACAAATTGGAGGAAACACAGAAGATGTTGATTTAGACATGTCAGAAGACAAGATCTCAAAATTTATACTTGATGGAGTCAGTCTCAACAATCCTGTTTCTCATGCATTAGTTTACAAGAAGAAGTACTTGCTGGCATTCTACGAGAAAGACTACAAACTTGAGGTAATTTAAGACCATCATCTTTAGATCTATAACTTGGCTAATTCGTCAGACATTCCGTTCCCTGATAGTTATGAGAAGCAGCTTGACAGCTGAAACATCGATTACATCAGCACCTTTACTCTGGTTCCTGAGAACAGCATCAATGACACAACAATGTTTTACTTGGTGTGCAACTGAAGAATTAATGACACAGGAATCAACCCGTCTTATCGACTGCAGTTTTACAGATTTAATGTTAGTGAAAATATGAATATGTTTTCTGCTACAAGATTCTACACAGATCCGATAGAAAGAATGAATGTTCCACTTGACAGAAAAGTCAAAGATGTGAAAGTATCAAATTTTCAAACCGGAAGAGAAAGCCATCACATTGTGATCCTGGCTGACTCTCAAACAATGCATGACTCTGTTCTTTACTACTATGGGCTTAGCTTTAATGAAGAGCAGACAAGGTTCAAGCTAATTTATTATTCAGAGCTAAACGGACTTCAAATGAATTATGATAAATTCAAAGTTAACTCTTTCATGTTCATACGTGGTTCCAAGTTCATGGTGTGCTCTGTTGATGACTTCGGACTACTATTCTATGACTTGGATCGACTTGAAAAAACAGATGAAGTAGCCTTCTCAGAGTTCTTCACATCATTCTACCCAGAATTCAAGATAACGAATCTGGTTCCAATATCCAACAACTCAATGAGGATATTTTTAGAGAACAAAGGATCTGTAAGATATTGTACTCATTTCTAGGTATCCCTTGTTTGGAAAAACGTCTATGATACAAAGATAGGTAAATACCTTCTTGACGGCCTGGAGCAAAGAGACCGCTTTGTAAATCTTAATAACCAACAAAGTACTGGAATTGTAGATTACTCAGATTTATCCATAGTGCAAATTGGATACAATTTAAAAAGAGGAGGGTTCTTAGATGCATTTGTGAGAGTTGAAAGACATATGAATCATTGAAATTCAAAATCTTTTAGAGAATATAATCTTGGAACTGTACTTCAATGTACTTTCATAGACTTACAATGATCTGAAGATAGGATTGTTGCTATTTGAGGAGATAAGTACTATATTATTAATTATCATCCATTTCCAAGCCTCAAAGTCACAAAACACTCAAAAGCCACTTCTTCCACTTTCCAACTCAAAGCCTCCAACAGCTACTCTGAAACTTCAGTTCTGTTTGAAATCGGCAACACCGACACCACCACTTTGTTTTCGAAGTGGGGCATCCTGTTCATCTTCGTGGCTGTCGTGCTGATCTTGACTTGGTGCATCCGGTGCACCTTCAGACAAGTAGTAAAAGCCAAGCCTGGCTCCGACTCGGTGATTCTGGCCAGCGAGCCCAGCTCAGTCAAGGACGTGTAAGCTACGTTTTAATGTTTAGTAAGTTCAGCCATGACGCATCAACCGAGGTGCTGAAGAAGATCAAGCTGACATACGCAAGCAGGGCCACATTTAGAAAGTCAGTAAAGATGAAGAGAGGATACAGTGAGTTTCACGACGATGTTGAATTCGATCTTACTCATGATGACACAAATGAGGAACCAATGAATATTTCCTAATTACTTTCTCAAAATAATTTGATTTATTAATATTAAGTTTCAAGATTGATTTACTCTACCGGGGTTTTGGGGTTTTGGGGTTTTGGGGTTTTGGGGTTTTGGGTGTCTGATTGTTGTCTCCTTTGTTGTTGTTG